CCGCTTCAGTCAGAAATTATCCATGCCTGTCAAATAAAAAATGATCTTGTCATTTCCATACGGCTGCCAGAGGAAGACAGCTTCACCTTGAGGACCCTGTTGGAGGAATAGAGTCTTTAGAAGGCCATTGTCAGGCTGTCAGGACTCTGGAAGCCTCCCGTCTTCCTCCAGCCCTGCAAGATGAACTCATCACAGGAAGATGTGAGGAGGGGTGATGAGGGCAGGGACACGGCGACACTGAATGCACCGCAGAAAATGTCTTCTCTGACAACAGATCGCTTTCTGTCTGTCCAACACAATGACGATTCAATCTGCAGCCGTGTTTGAATACTTAATACAAACTGATCTTTAGGTATCTTTTCACCTAAAGTGACCAACCATGAGTTGGAGTCTGACAAAATAAAGCATCTAGTGAACAAAACATTCAATCTATGTTTCCTGCAGCTTCCACAGCACTATGAGTTTTTCGAATAATGTCAGAAATAATCCCAGATGGCAGTACATTTGAGCAGCAGCCGTCTTGTCTTTAAGGACAAAGACAGAAGAGCAAAAGGGTCATCTACAGAAAGGAATAAATAATCAAGGCGCCACACAGTGCACAGGGTGACTGACAGGTGCTCTCTGGGAAAGGCAGTGCACGAACACTCACAACAGGGCGAACAAGAGGATCTAAATCATAACCATGTTAAAAATGGGGTGACAATGTAATGGTCTTCACTCAACCTAATGTGAGATCATGTGACTTGGGTTTCAGCCTGTGCATTTACTGATGAGTTTTTAAGATATACTTTTTAAAGGATTGAGCACCATTGCCAACATTTCCTTCACTTCCATTGTTCTGGACTAATTTCCTGCAGGGCGGTGGAGCTTGGGCTAGCAGAGGTTGAGACGTTGGGGTGGGTGAAGCCGTTACCCCTGACCCCTCTGAAGCCGGGCCATGTCGGGGGCTTGTCTGTCACCCAGCACCCTGATTCTATAGAGGGTGACCTCCGTTCACCTCCCTCAAGGCCAACAGCGGCCACATGGTGTATGGATGACTTTAAAACAGCTCCAGGACAGGGGGGGGGGGGGGGGGGCGGTGTGATAACATCTCGATAAATACACAGCAGGAATGTCTCAATAACTGCCACCTCCAGTCTTACATATTCATCAATGGGAGACATGATGCATGTGCAGTGATTAGTATTAGACTCTAAAACACACATATCTAAAAGACGAGAAGATTTTCTTTATGTAAGATTAAGCTTTAAGCTAAAATCGTATGACTTAAACATTGCATAAGGATGTCCGAAACTACAGCAATGTTAAGTAAAGTTAAGGCGCTTAGAAGCATTAAGTATGCAAGTTATAAAAGAGCAATGTATGTACTGAAAGTTAATGAAAAGTCCCAGTTTTGCATGTCCGCAAATTAAGGTAGGAATTTAAAGAACGTTTATTATTTGGTGATTTAGGAAAAACTGACCCCTTGACCCTTATCCATACCAAAAATAAGACAAGTTAATTTAGGGGGACCATGTGTTTCTGCAAGAAGAGCAACAAGGCAAAAACGTTTTAGTTGAGAGTCTGATTGTGTGCAGAAAAGCAAATGATAATGAAATGAAAACATATTTACATAGCAGCAGTAACAAAGAACTCTCCGAATCGATTCGACCACCAAGCTGACATACAGAAACAAATATATAATGTCCCAATAGGTTGGACACCAAAATACTTTACGGCACCATTAGAGTGCCATCACTTTCAGCATGGGTGGCGACAGTGGGAACTAAACCCACAGTACAGTCGGTGCCAGGCTCGACCCGCTGAGCTATACAGAGCGGAAAATGTACAGGAATTTGTTTCGGCGGCTTGGTGACAACTTAGTGTCACAGCTCACACTGACAACACCGTTACAAGGCCAACTGGACCTCACTTTATCATGTCCTTTAATGTGTCATTGGCAGTGTTGTGCTAGTTACTGAAAACCAGTAACCATTACTAGTTACTTCATTTCAAAAGTAACTCAGTTACTTTACTGATTACTTACACCAACAAGTAATGCGTTACTGTGAAAAGTAACTGTTTAGTTACTTAAAAAAAGGGCTCCCATTAATGCCCTTATAGCCTTCATTTCAGTACTGTTATTGCATTGGAGAATAATACAATCTGTTGATCAACTTGACATGCATTATATGCAATCTGGATTGCATCGATATTAGCTGGCTTTCCATTTTTGTATATTCTTTCTCCAGGTAGTTGGAAAAAGTTTTCCGTCCCATATGCCGTGTGCCGCCCGGACATGCTATCATGCTAACTAGCTCCCTGAAAGCGGGTGACTCCACTGTAGCAATAGCCTGCATGTGTTCAACATACCGTGCAATGGCTTTATCGACTTTTCCCTGGCTAGCAGTCCCTCGGTTAAAATCCAGCCGCTGTTGCTTAGGTGGAGGTGGAGCAGAGTCCTGCATCGGGTCGGGTACCCGACGGGTGACCCGCAAAAAAGGTGATTCGCGGGTGGTATTTTTTCAAACGCTTTTTTCCGGGTTTGGTTCTGGGTAAAACAAAGATGATGCGGGTCGGGTCGCGGGTATTGCATAATAAATATATTAAAATAATAATAATTTAGTTTAATGTTTAAATCCTCAGACCTCTCCCCAGCGGGACCGCGCATAATCGTAAACTCTGCAGCGCATCAATCTGCTGCTGTGTAAATTCTCCATATTCAAAATGACTGAGGTGAAGCTCTCTAGCAGAGAATACAGCAATTTCAATAACACTTCCTCAAGAGCGAAATCCAACGTCTGGGAGGCTTTTGGTGTCATCCTAGATGGAGAAAATAACCAACATCCCACGCTTTTTGAGACAAATATATGCAACTGCGTGTGTTAATAATTGCACGTTTTCACTGCTCATATATATGCGGGTTCGGGTCGGGTTGCGGATCTTGTGCCGACGGGTCGGGTCGGGTTGCGGAACTAATTAGCAATATGTGCGGGTAACGGGGCGGGTTCGGTATTGTACGTCGCGGGTGCGAGGCGGGAGCGGGTCTTGAAAATCAGACCCGTGCAGGACTCTGAGGTGGAGTGGCGTCGGCTGAGTCTCTGTGGTCTTAGCTACTAGCTTCGTCCCAGCATGTTGTTTTTGCAGATGTTTTAAGAGATTTGAATTACTGGTTTGGGCAGTAGATAGGATCTTTGACCCGCCAGGACACAACTTACATTTAACAGAAACTTTCTTTTCTTTGTGCTCGACAAAAGTGAAATAGTGAGAATATCTCCAGGTGGAGAAACTAGACTTGAGCTCCGCCGCCGCCATGATAGTCTTGTTAGTAAACAACACAAACACGCCCACAGCCCGTCTCCGCATGTGACACAGGAAGTATCTAAGTACATTTACTCAAGTACTGTACTTAAGTACAGTTCTCATCTCTGTTCGCCTGGCTGTTGACTATATAAAAAAACTAACGCAGTAACGGAGTAACGCACCATGTAGTAACGGTAACTGAGTTACTGAATTTAAAAAGTAATGCGTTAGAGTACTAGTTACTGCCAAAATAACGGCGTTACAGTAACGCGTTACTGTAACGCGTTAGTCCCAACACTGGTCATTGGTGAGTCATTTTCCATGCTAAAAAGACCTCTTTAGGATTAAAGTCAGTGATTTGGTGAACAGATTGAATAAAGGGCTCTGATTGGTCAGTCTGGGATTAATCCAATGCTAACAATGCAGCTGCAAACTTTATCATCAGCAAATTCACGTATACTTCACATGCTAAAAGTTACTGTCAAGGAGCCACTCCAGAGCCCTGAGGGCTGGTGACAGGTGTGTGTGTGTGTGTGTGTGTGTGTGTGTGTGTGTGTGTGTATGTGTGTGTGAGAGTGGGGACAGAGGGAGGGAGACAACTGCTGTTGGTCTGCTGGGAGCAGATGTTGGAGATCTCTGTAAACTGTTAATAGCTGCAGGATCTCATTACATTTAACTCTTTAAATGCCAAACCTCCACTGGGGAGAAAGCATATCTCACCGCCCTAACAACCAGCCTGACACACACTCTTTGCTCTGCTGGAGGAAGAAGATGTCGTTTTCATATCAGAGGATAAAAACTCACTACTTGCTGCTTATTGTCTTTATAAAGCCTTACCTGACTCAACAGTGCAAACATGTTTTGAATGCAAACAGACCAATGTTTGCACTAAAAGTGTGTAAAAATAAGTACTGACGGCAGCATATTTACAGGTATTTCTCTCCCCTCATCAATATTTAATTAAGATCATGTAAGGAATAGATAGAAGGCAGAAAAAGACACATGACTCTGGAAGTTTTTACATCTCCGGGCATCATTTTTTAACTTATACATCATTATGTTTCAGTTTATTTTGAACCAAAACACACGTTTTGACTGTTTGAATTCCGATGTTCTTACCGCACTAAATTTGTCTTTTAATCCCGCAGCTCAGGGCCATTAAACGAACACAAAAGTAAACCAAGCCCTGTTACTTTAAGCAGTGCCATTCCACAGAGCCCAGTGTTTAGAGTGAATCCGATGACAAAACTGAGTACAACAGCTGTTTGCAGCACTGCATTACTGTCAACATCCAGCTATCACGCGAACACGCATCTCTGTACCTCTCCGTTTCCAGCACAGCAGTTTGACCCCTTCAATTTATTTAGCTCAGTTTAGCCAGGGCTAAGAGCTTCCTGAGTCCTGCTGGGGGCATCCAGCCCAGCGGTCCGTTCACTGACCTTTACTTTCCGTGAGAAGATTTCAGAGCATGAGGGCTCTTTCAGCCCTTTGCTTCACACTTCTCCAGTTATAGCAATTCAGGCCAGGGAGCATTGCAACACTCTCACTGATCTACCGATAGATACACAGCAGCTCCACTGGACGAGCAGGGGATTAAGATGCCTTGCTTAAAGGCACTGATGGTCGCTCAACAGATTTTTGGAGCCTCAATTTGAGTCTCTATATCACATCCCTGATCTTCTAACCTTTAAGTGTTAACATGTTTGAAGGTCTCTCACCTTGATGCCTCCCATCCTCTGCTCTCCCTTGAACTCTTTCCCGTTCTTCAGCCAGTGGATGGTGGGCTGCGGGTTTCCTGACGCGGCGCAGCGAAACTTTACTGTGTTGGCGGCAGGAACAGCCAGCAGCTTCTTGTCCATCCGGTCAGCCCGGCTCCAATATGGAGCTTCTGCTGAGAAACACAAAACAGGTTGTTCCGTCAGTCATGGAAAAAAAGGTCTATCCTAATATATATCATTACATTTATACTTTTATTAAGTCCTGACATTTCCCCTGAAATCATTTGATATAACTCTCTTATCATTGGTGACACATTTTATGTAAAACAACACATGTCCAAGTGAAGCATCAATTTCATTCTCAAGTTTTTTTTGTGTGCCCGTGTCTACTTTAAGTTGTTGAATTGTATCGTCCTATGACTCTTGTTAAGGGTTTGGGTTATTTTAAGGGGGTTATTAAAGTTATTGAAACAGAGAAAAGTAGTTTCATATAAGCAAAATCATCAAATTATTGAATGATTTCATACAAACCTTGAGTCATGTCTCCCTAGTTTATTCTGAAGTCTTTATAAGAAAACTGCAATTCAGTCTAAATCCTGACCCTTTAAATGAGACAATATGCAAGTATCGCCTCCAAAATGTTGCAATTGTTTGGTAGCTGGGAACAAGTCCATTCAATTAATATAGTTATTTGATAGTTCCAAGTTAAAAACAGAGACTTAAAAAGTATTTTTTGTGGCTTAAATCCGACTTGCTTTGCAGAGACTTACCACTTTCTTATTCTCAAAGATCGACCCCTAGTTTTCCACTTTCTGAAATATTCTTAGATCATAGGAATTTTTGGAAAGACCCTCCAGGAATTCATAGTTACATGTTTTTGTAATTGCTGAAAGATGGGACAGACGGTACAACTTGCTGCTCTGCCCTGTCTTCAAATTGGTCCATCTTGGATGAGTTATGCACTTCACCAGAACAGATGTGAGGTTGTGGCTTCCTATAGAGGTCTTCCCTCACCGCTCTAATAAACAACACAGTACCTGCACCCACTTTCCCCCAATGCCAAGCTCTATTCTCTGAAGAAAACCAGTAAAGACGTGCAAACGGTGTAAAACACAGTTTGACGGACGCTGAAAGGACACGGGCGCGTGAAGCGTCGGGAGGACCAAACAAAGCTTATGATCGTCTTCCCCCGATAACAATGTAAGAGTTCATTTGAATCGCCCGATCCTGAGAGTTTGGAAACCTGTCAGGGCGATTTATTGAGTCGTATTGAGAAGGAGGCGGACAAAGAGAGTGTAGCGAGTCAGAGAGGCCTATTGTTGCCGAGGTGTGGGTGAGGGCACTGAGGCGTGGCTCACTCGCTCTCTTATTGGTCTGTGTGGACAAAGGCTGGGGAGGTGGCTGACCGGTCATCAGATGTCTCTTTTACTTTTCTGAATGCAGGAGCAGAGAGAGGAGCTAATTACCATCTCAATGTCTGCACTTCTGTGTGTGTGTTTGTGTGTCCTCCTCTGAGTCTGTGTGTTATCAGACTTCGGGTCAAACGAGAGTTAAAAAGTCATTCTCATCCTCCAGCAACACATTAATCTAATCAGCTCAACTCAGGTGAGATGTCGATCAGAGAGGTGTCGCCTTTAGAATAAAACACCAGTGTGGATGGACTTTGAAGAACAGCAGGCTATTCTCATGCACTGTTTGTTGCTATACCAAGGGGACAACATGCATGGTAATTGGTGTTTCTGAAATACCTGTAAAATAGAAAGCCAAGAGAGTGTCTGCAACTTATGTGGTTATTTGAACCCAGACAAGGACTTTTTTTTAACTTAACCTCTTCCGTTGTTATTTTTACCCAACATTTGACTTCATGTTACTTTGCACACTTTGGCAGTTATTTTAAAGCCAAACATAGAACAGTCTTTTACATAACTTTGCCACATTGGCAGTGACCAAAACCTTGAATTATACTTCATGTCATTTAGCCACTTCAGCAGTTTCTTTTATCCAAACTAAGATATACATTTCACGTAACTTTGCAACATGGGTGATGATTTAAACAGAAATCACACTATTTTCCTAAACCTAACCAAGCGAAGTGACGACAGAAAAGACTGCATGCATGCGTCTGCAGAATTTGACAATTGTTGCATGAAAAAACAAGGATTAGCTTTTCGTTTGATACCAGTGTGTGTCTGTTTACAATATTGCTTTGGGTGTTCTGATATATTTGACACACAATTCTTTGGCAGCTGCCATCAAACTTTGGCGTCCTCTTCACAGAGTAATTACAACCAGAGCAGGAGAAAGATATTCAGCGATGAAAGACGTATCTTCTTAGAGAGCAAACAAACCGAACGTTACTACACTCTTGAACTGACGGTAAACTGTGTGTGTTTACAAACTGTAATGAAGCGGCTGAGCACGCTCCCTGCTTGAGTTAGAGACTCCCCAGCTCGCTAGGGCAAACGCTTTCAACGTGCGACGCTCACACGCACTGCCTCCACCTTAAAAGGGAAATATCTGTAAGATTTCATTACTTCTCTCTCTCTCTCTGTGTCTGCTGTCTCGGCGTATTTGGAGCGACACTCTGCGCAGCGTGGGACAACCCTCCAAGGAGTCTGAACACATTGTTTTCTTGGCATGGTAATCAGCCACACACACACTCTCAGGCAAACACAAACACACTGGGTTTTTAAACAGTCTCTCTCCTGATGTGTGGTCCTCCTCCTCCCCTCCTCCCCCTCCTCCTCCTCCTCCTCCTCCTCCTCCTCCTGCTGCTGCTGCTCCTGAACTCAGCTGGGCCTGAAAACACCGTCATGAGGACTTTTCCTGTCTGGATTCATTACTTCGTTATGGATTCATCCCGAAAAACACACACAATTTGTTTATTCGCTGACCCTTAAGTGCTAAGTGCTAACTGCTGTGTTACTGCGCAAGATCACATGCACATGCTGTGAAGTAGTCTTTGTCTTTTTTGGCAATATAGTTGTGCTAAAAGTGTTTTTTCTCTGTTTAGAGCTAATGCTGTCGTTCTTCTTTTCAATTTGTATTTAGTTGTATCCTTCTGCAAGGAAAAAGCTATTTGATATAATTTAAAACAAAGCTGGAATTCACTGATGTTCATCGTTTTGTCTTTAGGGCATCTAAAACGTATTATGTTTTTACATTAGGACACTTATTCAGGAGCTTTGCAATGCAACACAGTGCACATGCAGCCTTTTCCTTCAACAAAAATAAGTCGTATTTGAATTCAAATGCTGTAAAGTCCTGCTCTCAGTGCGCTCAGCCACACAGGAATCCCATCCCGTGTCTAATTGGCAGGCTGGTATTTCCTCAGCAGAGGGGGAGTGGGATCTCCTCTGTGGGGACGGGGGGAGACCAGATACCCTCTCAAACCCTACAGGGACAGGGTCAGACGATAACCCTGCCCTGCATGGGTATGTAATCATCGTAGTGGAAAGTGCTTTAGCGTAACTTCTTCTCTCAGCAGTTACAGTGTCATGTCCAGCTGTCAGCTGCAAAGTGAACTGAGGAGAAGGATCTCTCCGGGAGCCTAAAATACACGACTGTGTGCTGTTTGTTTAGTTTACACCTTCTCACATGCTAATTTACACACACGTCCAATACATATGTCACCCGGGGTAAAAGTATTACATTACATCTACCAGTATTGTGAGCCTCATCAATGATATGTTGGCAGTTTTAGCTAAAAAGGATCTGACTGCAACTATGAATCTGTATGATTGACTTTCTCTTCAAAGTTAAAGGAGATACCATATTTATTTTTACATTACTGCTGGCAAGAAGGTGACATTTCCAGTTTCTTTGTCTGGTTTTTGTTTTTTTTAGCAGGTTATCTCAAAATTGTAACACATTGAAATGGAATTTGATGAGAAGCTATGCCACTGGCCAAACCAGAGATTGCTACTCTTTGGTGGGGAGACTGAAATATTTCTAAAGTGTTTTCTTCTTGCAAGATAGGGATAAACTATTGCATTACAATCTGGCATATTCATCCTGTTATTGTCTGTCACTTTGTGTACTCTAATGCAGATCCAGATGCTGATTCTAAACACTTTGTATTATTGAAATAACAACTTGAGGATTTTTGACATTACAGGGAATAAGCTGTGAGCACTTAGAGTTTTGTTAACAGAATAGAGTTCATTGTCTTTGCTTTTGGACTAAGCTTTGCAGTTACAAGTGATCACACACCAACAGACACATTTACACACTCATCCAATACATATGTCACAGGAGGAAAAAGTAGGAAATGACATCTACCAGAATTGTGAGCCTCATCAATTATATTTTGGTAGTTTTAGTGGATTTGAGATAAAAAGGATCTGACTATCAATCTGTATGCCTTACCTTTCTTTTCTAAGTTAAAGAAGATACCATAATTATTTTTGACATACTGTACCTGCTGGCAAGAAGGTGACATTTCCAGTTTCTTTGTCTGGTTTTTGTTTTTTTAGAAGGTTATCTCAAAATTGTAACACATTGAAATGGAATTTGATGAGAAGCTATGCCACTGGCCAAACCAGAGATTGTTACTCTTTGGTGGGGATACTGAAATATTTAAAGTGTTTTCTTCTTGCAAGATAGGGATAAACTATTGCATTACAATCTGGCATATTCATCCTGTTATTGTCTGTCACTTTGTGTACTCTAATGCAGATCCAGATGCTGATTCTAAACACTTTGTATAATTGAAATAACAACTTGAGGGGACATTACAGGGAATAAGCTGTGAGCACTTAGAGTTTTGTTAACAGAATAGAGTTCATTGTCTTTGTTTTTGGACTAAGCTTTGCAGTTACAAGTGATCACACACACGACCCCTGCAGCTCTCTATCACTCTCCCTCTGACTCCTGGCTCTGTGTTTCGGGTCGGAGGAGCGTGACTTTGGCTTTCTATCAGCCCAACTCCAGTGCAGCAGCAATTAGCTGGAGCGGGACACACTGCGGAGCGGATCGCCACGGCACAAAGTCCCTTCAGCGCACAGACACCGATCCAGGGACAAGTAGGAGGAGGAGGAAAGGTGGGGGTCTAATTGTGTAATTGTATAATTTGCCCTCACTGACGCCTGCCTGCGAGCACACGGGCAGATTTCATTACAGATTACACTGGGGCTCTTTGAAGGCCTGCTGCCCCCGAGGGCCTGCAGGGACC